TATAAGCTCAAGCGAACAGAGCCCTCATCATCAAGCGAGCTAAATAGGAAAGAAATATGCAATGGGAGGGAGGGCCAAAGTGTCCTCTTGTTTTCGGATCTAAACATTGGCTAATGATAACTACATCCTCCGTCATAAAATATTTGACCTTATAGGATTTAAATTTTATTCTGAAATACTTGACATCCTCATTTTCCAATGCATTTTTCTCTTCTACTAATGCATTTTTTCCCCAATACATCTTTATCTCTATTTCTCTTTATCTCTCTCCTCCTTGATTTTTGTGTACTACACCTTCACTTTTCTTTAATTTATGTGTCCAAACCTAAACGTCCAGGTCCTGTTCTCTTGAACTTTTGAGCCTGACTTATCAGCTATGGTATAATGTTTTTCTCTCATAGCAAATCAGCGGATAATATTTTTCAGCATAGTTTTTCAGCAAAACGAACATGCCGTGTCTTCGAGCTAAATATTTTAAAGATTCTTGATAGGGGAAGTTGTAGATGTATGTGTAACTCTAAAACCTTATATATCCTTTAGTTTAAAAAAATATGAACATCAACTTCATCCAAAGTAACATGAATGAATTATGAATTAGAGGGAGCAATACACTAGAAGTACGTTTTACATATATTTATACATCGATTTGATATTCGTGATGGAATCGAAGAAGTAAAAACAGTGTGCACATGGCCCGTGCAGGCACGATACTGATACTGACCGAGCATCTATGTATCCACCGGTGGATCCACGGAAGGCTATGCATGCAGCGGACTGTGTAAAGCACTGATAAAATCCGGTCCCCGGCCGGCCAGGGCAAAAATAATGGCGATCGCCGTCCTTGTGCCATCTAAGGGTGGCAAAGACACCAGACATTTGTTGCTGCACTTCTGTCAGCTGCATCTGCAAGCCATGACAGCTGCTGCCTGCTGCTGCTAATGGTGGGGTTCTACTACGGCTCCTGTTCATCGGTCACATGCTCTCTCGAATCGATCGACCGGTTATGTTTATGTCGCAACACTAGTCTGAGTGTCTGACAAAGAAAAACAGAGGCTACTGGGTACGTGGTTAATTAATTAGTTACTGCAAAGCTAGTAGCTGTTTCTTCCTTTTGAACTTTCAAACAACTGAAAAATGCATGCTCCATCCAATAATGGATGGGGGTTCGCCTTGTTCGTTTAAGGACGTATTTAGTTCGCGAAATTTGGGAATTCGGCTACGGTAGTATTTTTGTTTTTATTTGGCAATTAGTGTTCAATCATGGACTACTTATGTTCAAAACGTTCGTCTCGCGATTTCCAACCAAACTGTGCAATTAGTTTTTTTTCGTTTACATTTAATGCTCCATGCACGAATCGTAAGATTCGATGTGATGGCTACTGTAGCACTTTTTGGGAAAGTTTTTGGGAACTAAACACAGCCTAAGATTGTTTGGCTGATAAGCCATAGTTGAAAATACTGTTGACTGATTTGGTGTGAGAGAAAAATATTATTCGTTGGCTAAAAAAATACAACTTATAAGCTAAACAAGCTCAAACAAATAGGGTGTCGCTGCTGCTAGTCCCTTCACTCCACCATTATATTCCTTCCCTTACAAAGGACGAGCTTTGAGCTCCACAGTTGGTGGTAAATATCCATATATCCATGTATGGTGGTCTCGTCATCATCGTTCATCAACCATGTGTCAATTTTCTTTTCTCATACTAAATTAAAAAGCATATTCTTTTTTTTAAAAAAAAAGAAGAGAAAAGAAACCAAGTGCTCTGCTGATTGACTAAGCCACTAAGGGCCCTCGCTGTAACAAAAATCTGGAGCCCTTGCATGCACGCCCGATGTGCTGGTTCACGCGCGCCCTGAGGCCAGCCCCCAACGCTACACCGTGTCGTGCAGCTTCAAGTCACACGTCTGCATTTATGCTCCACATCATACCGGTTGGTAGCCTCACTGTCTATCGTGATAGCCTGCAGAAGCGCCGGGCTCCAAAAGGTTCAGGCAACAAGTCGAGCGAGCGTTGCAGCGAATGATAGCCTCTGGCACGCACGGCAACCAGCAAGACGACGAGAGGAAAGCAGCAAGGTGAGAAAAAGAAAGCTGCAAACTGCTGCATCCGGTGGGACCCAAAATAAAATACTCTGTAGCTTCTCGTTGCTTGCGCGGTGAGACTGTTTGTCTTGGCTCTTCCTCGTCTACATGAAATACAACTTTTAGTTGAGGCTAACAGTACTAATCGCCTGCGTTGGTCATGCCCAGGAAGGTTGCTAAAGCCCCGGCCGGCCGGGCGGTTGCTCCAATCCAATCCAAGTACCTGTATTTACCTAGCTACTAGATGTGCATGCCGATTGGCACAGGTACAGCACCAGTCCTAGTTTACTATTACTGCTGCTCCTCTCCTTCCTTTTTCTGATTTCCTTTTAAGCTGCTGCTGGCTGCTGAGGATGAGCCTGAGCACCGTCCGTTCCATTCTTCAGTTCTGCTGCTGCTGTGGTCCGGTCGCATGGTCCTGTTTATATATATATATATATATATATATATATATATATATATAGCGCTCTAATAATTTGATAATGAATGTGTTATATTGTTAAAAAAAACGATACTGCAAGTGTGATATCTGGAATGTCAATATTACAAAATGGCTAAAATTCTCATAAGTGACTTCCAATCATCAAGGTGTGCATTCGTAGTATTGTACATTTGTGCATACATACATGAAAGTTCATATCACCATCCTTGAACATGGAATCCACAAAATCGCAGAAAAAATGTGTTGCACCTTGTGTGAAGATAATGTGGCATCCTCACTAACTTGAATCCAGACTTGAGTCCTGCAGTGGTAAAAACCTTTCACGATTGGTTGCCATGTAAATAATATAAAAGTCGGATCCTTCGTACTAATCCAATGAACTTGATGTCCATCGGTCCATGGCCCATGGTATAAGACGATAAGGCTAAGAAGGGCAAACAAAGAACGATAGAGGAACAAGATAACAAGAGAACTGATATTATCAACCAGATCTTTTCTCTATATAAGCTAGTTGTTCGACATTCCTTTGAAATATTTTATTTTTTTTATGATTTGGCAATGCAGAGATCATTAGTCTTACCAAGTAAAACAGTAAGCAACTGAATGTGTTGCTTGATTCAGCCTTGATATTCCATTTACAAGAGTCTTGGCCCCTAACCTTACATGCTGGTAATGTCATTTTCTCGAGGTGCCCACTGCTTTGGAGCTCACCAACCTAGGACAATGCAGTCCAAGACAAGAAATATATTTAAGCCCATAGTGTTGCAACGTGCACACTTGGAGGGAAACCTCCATTTGCTTAGGACTACATACATACAACATTACAATAAACTTGGAAACAAGTAACAACAGACTGGAGCTACATGTATCAGCAATTCATCACAAAAAATATTGTAATAGAGACAATTTGGCTTCAAGCTCACCAGAGGTTTGATAGGACTGGCAGGAAGCGACATAATGCATGTTTGGATCTCCTGATCACCAGGTTTTGAGCACGATTCTAGGAACTTCTGTGTCAGATTCAAAGCGATCAAGCATTGTTTCTGTCTCATTGAGAAGCTGTAAATGGGGAACGACAAAGTGAAAATAAGACGATTACGAAAACAACGAAGATGTTACAAAAATGGTTAAATAACTAGCACCATCTTGACAAATTTTAGAAAAGTACGTGCAGGCAGCAGCTTGACAAACTTAAGAAAAATACATGCACAACTATGTGCATTCACTGCCAAAACAAGTTCATTTTAGTTACTTTTCAGTCCTAGCAGTGCTGGAATTAAAAATGCAAGAAAAGTGGCTTACCCTTTAGCTGCTCTATTTGCCATCACACCGCCACAAATGAAAATTTACACAAAATTAACCCTACTCCTATGCAAGAAAACTGTGCAAGAAAATTTACATGGACAACAATGAAAATGAGATCCTGACACTTCCACAGGCCTTCAGAACATTGTGCAGTGATCAAGTTCACCAGCTGATTAGCAAGGTCTACATATTTATAGTTTCCTGAGCATTAAAAAATAAAACTAACAATATATTTCATAAAAACGTGTCAAAGAATCGACCTTAACACATGGGAACCGTCCAAGCAGTAAGAATGGCTCGGAGAAACAAAAACCACCCCTTCAGTACCATTGCCTTGTGAACAGAAAGTCTACAGTTAAAAGTTCAAGAAAAATAATCGGCAATGATTTCTTTACAAAGAGGGTAGTTAAACTGACCACGTAAAAGCCGTTTACTCTACCAAACTGACAGGCTCACATACTGAGTTGTTCATCAGTTAATCATTAGTTACACAAAGCTACCCAATGAACACAATGACATGCTCACATCCTAAGCTGAACCCTGATCTTATCTAGTGTTTCCTGCACCAGATGTGGAAAGCCAAGCTTGTGCTTTCTGCTATTCATCAGTGAGTCATCTAAACCACAAGGTACTACTTCCTTTGTTTTAAAAGTGGATAACTAATGTCACTATGCCGCATGTAATTGACAGTATCCCAAAAAATATCACTACTAACTGCCACTGTGCCGCATGTAATTGACAGTATACCAAAAAATATCACTACTAACTTGCTTTTTAGGTGGCTCACACAATTTCAATAGTATTGACGATGATTTTCTACAGAGCAAGAGTATATATAGGCCACAACTCTAAATCAAGTGCCTAAACAACTTTGAAACCATTTGTATAATCTGTTTAGGTACGTACCCCATAATTCACGTAATTGAATGCAAAATTAAATTTCTTATTACTCAGTTAAATGCTCCAACTCAAATGTATTGAGAAAAAACATTTTGCTACAGTTGAAGCAACCCAAATACTGTACTGGATTAGATGTACCAGTGAGCACATGATCCATCGAAGAAGGTAAAATTCATAACTAGCAGCAAACCTGCAGTTAGTGTCAACCAGCATTGTAGACAGATACCATGAAACATCGACCTTAGATGAGGTGAAGGCGACGAAGTTACCCTCAAGTGAGCATGGCGGCAGCCTCAGTAACCTTAGCACAGGTGTAAACCTGTGAGCACATAAATATACAAGATCTCTAGATAAGCACCTGTAACTTTGTCGGTCTTTCAGTAAGCGTCCCAGACAATTCAAAGGATGGTTTTGCTACAAAATAAGGAGAGGAATATTTCAGTAAGCCATTAACAGGACTCGCTTACTGGTTTGGCTAACTTCAGAATAATCAAAGGAAATCACAATTACGAAAAACAAAACAAAACAAAGGAAAGCACGAAATGCAGTTCAGCACTGACTTACTACCACTGCTTTTTTTTTAAATGACTCTTTGCTCCATCAGAACATGAAACACAAGCTAGGGGATTCTAGTATTCAGAAGTTCATATATGCATCTACAACAATTGCTATCCAAATCTTAAGCTTAATAGTAAGACAAATATTCAGTTTGTACCCTTACTCTGCTATGCCAAAGAAATAGATAAATTCAGTATTGCTGTTACAGGAACCCCAGTCGAGCAAAGTTCAGTAGAACTAACAAATAGCAAAACAGAGCAAGGAAGTGAACAGAGATAATAAGCCGCTAACGAATCATAATCAATAACTCTGTACTGACCAACATACTTTGCCGGCTTCCGTACACAAAATTTAATAAAGCAAAGCCTATGCTTCCATACACTTTGAATTTGAAAGCATTTAGAATGATTGTCAGGATACATTCTCATCAGTATCGTTCTATAGATTCCAAAAAACCATTCAGTTGATGACGCATAGTAATATGGTTGAGCAGCTAATGGGTGATTTTTTAAACATAGATCGGGTTCCACAGATTCCAAAAATTGCAAAAAAAATAAAATAATGGGATCCGAGAATATGGCAACAAGCTGCTCCTCCCCAGGGAGGAAGCCACCAAGACTCACCGAGTCCTCGTTGGTGACGGGGAGCACCTTGGAGGCGTCGGGTGGAGCTGCAGCGGCCGGGATGTACGAGCGGGTGGAGGCGACGCGGCCAGAGGAGCAGCGCCTGGAGGCGATGCGTGATCTCGAGATCTCCAAAGCCCTCGGCCCGCAGGCTGCAATGGCGCTCTCGGCCTCGAGCTCAGGGATGGAGCCATAGCGCTTGGAGATGCGTTTAGCGGTCTGCAGGAAGCCACGCGCCACTCGGCATCACACGTGCGCTGCGACGGATCCGTGAGAGACGAAAGCAGCGACTTCACGGAGTCCGTTCCTCGTCGGAGTTATACAGTCGAGCGAAGCGGGGCCGCGGTTCCTCTTGTTGGCTGGCCGGCGGGAGCTATGTCGGGTTCATCGCGCCGGTGGGACAGAGCCGGGGGCCGATTCGGCGGTGGCGGCGAGGGCCCGACGAGGCGAGGCCGATTCGGCGGCGGTCGTTTCGAGGAGGCGAGGGCGGGTCGGATGCATGGGAGCGAGCGTGGTGTCGCACCCAGGATGTACGGGAGCGAGCGGCTTTGGTGTCGTACCTGTGGATAAAATAGTTATGAATGCTTTAGTTGTAGTGAAGAGATATACTCCCTATGGTCCAAGATTCAAACTTTACCATATTTGATCAATAATTTAGTCAGCAACTTTAGCTCGTGTAGTATAAATTTGATATAATTAGATTTGTAATCAAAGTTATTGCTCCCTTCATTTCAAATGAGTTTGTCTATTTGTCAGCCATGTGTTTCCCTCCCAGGCCACACTCGATTTTTTTTCTTCACACTGTTCTTCTTCCACCACCAGGCTTGACGTCGTTCTTGCTCGTCCTCGTCCATGCCGCCGACCACCTCCCTGCCGCGGGCGCTAGGGTTTGCTGGATCCTAGCGCCCGTGGTGGCTTCCCTCTCTTCCCCTACTGCCCCGCCGCCGCCATCTTCTCCAACTCCGGTGAGCTCGCTCGCCGCCATCTTCTCCAACTCCGGCGAGCCTCCGCCGCCACGACCTGGCCCGGCCGCCCCTACCACCGCCAGCTCCCCTAAACCGCCCAGCCACCACCCCCACCGCCTGGCCTGCCCGCATCCCCCCGGCCGACCCCTTCTATACCCTCTAGAGTTGGAGAAGAAAGAGGGGGAGAGCTTGCCGGAACCATAGCCACCGCCGCCATCGTCGTCGTCTCCGATGGATGAGGAGGAGGAGGAGGATCGGACGCCTACCTTATCGGCGCCCGCGAGCTCGGCCGCCAACGCCACCGCCGCTGGAGGGGAGGGAGAAATGAGCCGCGAGCTCGGCGAGCGTAGGATCGAACGGCCTCCATCGCGTCCCCGCGCGGATCTAAGGCTCCAGAAATCGCGTGAGGGGAACTCCTAGAACACTCGGTTGTTCTATAGCTTTCTCGTTTCAAATTGTAAGTTGTGTTCGAGCTCTTCTAGATACATATCTTTTACTATATACCTAGTATAAATTTAAGTGTCTGGCAAAAGCAATGCACTTAAAAAAAGCTAAAACGACTTATAATTTAGAGAATTAATGTAGTATTCAGTAATCATAAATAAAATAATCTAAAATAAATAAATGATCAAACATATATATAGGCCCTGGTTGGCCCAGGCTCCGGCTACTCGCTACTATAGTACCGGAGGAGCTAGCCACAAATCGTGGCTTCTTCCAGCCCTATGTTCATTTCTCGAAGAGAAATAAGGGTCTATTTGGAGTTTAGTCCATCTTTTCGATGCCAAATAGGTGTAAACATTAACAACCTATGGTCTAACAAAAACTAATAGATGCTAATTGATGAGTAGAACTTATTAGAGAAAAGAAATTTTTAATTCATCCACATTTAGTATATTATCCTACACTTTAATCCGGTGATCCAAACATGCCCTAAAAATGGCTCATGTGAACAGTCCACTACAGTTGCTGGTGTAGAAAGAGATGGAGCCAAAAAAAAAAAAAAACCGTGTGTCAAATAGGCCCATAGTTTAGGAGGTCGTGCTATGTCAAATTGTGCCATGTTGATCTATTTTATGCGTACTTATGCTTTGAGGCCAAAGCAGTATATATAAACTATAGTACGTTGTACGTGCTGGTTCCAAAATGGAATCATCCATGTTATATTGCCAAGCATGGCTTCGAGGAGCATGAGCACATGAACGCTCGTAGTGGTAGAAAAGCACAGTAGTACGGAGTACATTTTATTCATGGAAAATCGATGATTTGGCGCTCTAAAGAAGAACCACTTCTACTTTAGGCTTCCGTACGCATAAGCTATCGCGCTACGTAGTACGAGCACGTACTTATTACCCTTTCTTTTTCTGTTGTTGTTGGATCTGCATGCATCGTCAATGGTAGATAGACAGCAGATGTTCCCTTGACGAGAATAGTTTTGCTGCTTTCCAATAGATCAATGTTCTTTTATTATAGTGTTATTGTTTTCTTAGACCTGAATATGGTGGCCATGAGGCTTGACCATAGAACACGCAGCAGCAGCTTGACCTTCTAGAGCGTCTTCGTCGAGCCAATGTCTCAATCCAAGCATGACGCGCTATCGGCTCTTCTCTGCGCTGATCTTGTGAACGTGGAGGTGTGCCGTGTGCGCCGATGAGATCTAGCCTTCACGACTAGATCGGCGGTGCCCAGTGAAGTTTCTTTTCTTGGTTATGTCTTCTTTGTTTGTGTGGTTGTGCGTGCCTCTTTGGTCACGCTCACAGCTCTGATAAAGAGTCTACACATCGGGAAGAGATGTGAGGAACCCAAAAATGATGGCCAACTGTACAGACTCAAAATTGTCCCAGGGTGTTGACACCCTTTTGGCTAGCTGTTGACACCTAAAAATGTCCCAAGGTGGATTATAGGCATCTCCAGTAAGTTATATATATCATATACGTGTTGGTGGCCAAGTTGCGTGACAAAACACCAAGACCACATGTCGGCTCTCCAAACGCCGGTTGGGATCTATCGGCCGTCAGCCGATTAGGTATCCATCGGCTTTTAGCCGGCCAATTGGCCGACTTTTCCCTTTCAGCTGATCAGGACATCTGCCCGGGCTCGCAAGTCAGCTAAGTCGACGTCGGCTTCTGGCCGGCTGATTCACCGATTCACCGACTTTCCCTTTTTAGTCGATCAGGGGAACTGCTTGAGCACGCAAAAGTTGGCTAAGCTGACTCCTGCTGTATTATGAACCGATTTGATTTTCAAATCGGTTTTTTTGCAATATGTTCGATGTGGGAAACTTAGAGAACACGTTTTGGATTTGTTTTCTGCTGAGATAAGACCACCCCCACTATATATATGAGAGGATCATGCATGGCTGATTGAGACCCCATCTATACAATCGCTAAAAAATACATCTACAACACCCTTTATCTCTTTTCAACCTCTTCTGTTGTTCGTTGCATCTCCCGACGAGATTCGATGGCGTTCTAGGCAGCCTTGCTGGTCATAGGACACCCTCTATGTGCTCTTCTCTCCGACGGGTCTTTCCAGGAGAAGTTCGGGAGTCTATCAAGCCAAGAACAAACTCAACATCGGCCTAACCGTTCTCTATATCGGTTTCGTCGGTCAAGCTGCGTTCTTTGCTGCGTTCTAGATAGTGTGCAACCTCTTGGGCGTGCTAGCCCCTGCTAGTGTATGATCCGGACACCCTCCATCATCAACACACTTTTTAGCGACTCCGCTGGAGAAGAAGCGAAGCAAGATTTAATCTACTAACGACATGGGTAGTCAAGGTGAGGATGGTGACAAGGGTGACTAGATCTCAACCAAGCCAACATCAACCACCCCATGTCCGTTGAGGAGCTTTCCAAGGAGCTGAAGCAACAAGTGGAGGCCAAATTTAACGCCGTTCTGAAAGCTTTCCTTAAGAATTGCACTAAAGATCGACGGGAGAAGGTCACTCAACAGGTTGTTTCACATCGCTGCTAGTCCCTTCACTCCACCGTTATATTCCTTCCCTTCATAGGACGAGCTTCGAGCTCCACGGGTGTTGGTAAATATCCATACATCCAAGCATGGTGATCTTGCCATCACCGTTCGTCAACCGGCTGTCAATTTTCTTTTTCCATATTAAAGAATATTGTTTCTAAAAGAAAAGAAACAAAGTGTGTTGGATATATTATGGGCTTGGCCCATATAATATTTAATAAATCAAATAAAACTCTATGGTCCATAACATTAAGCGTTGTATGGTTTAATATCGTACAGGATTTTGACTGAACGTTGACTCAGCTTATTTGGTTAGAAATTATCCATCTTAATTGAGAAGCTGAGAAAAGGACACAGGAGTACCACACGCGCGCGCGCTGCCGCTGCCGGCCAGGCCGTGCCGCGGGCGTGGCAAGGCAAGCGGTGAGCGAGCGGACGGGCGGGCATGGCCAGGTTTTGCTATTTAATCCACATAATTACAGAAGTTTCTCTCTTTTATGGTGGAGGCGAGTTGATTGCGTCAGTTACCGTCTCTTCGTGTCTCCGTCTCCTGAGTTCCTCGGCTGGCTTTCTCCCTCCCCTCCGCTGGGCATAAAAGTAGAAGTCCTCCGTCAGTCCAGTCTTCCCTTCACTTCCAAGAGACCACATCTCGGCCGCCCTTTGGTTTTCCCCGTCCCGTACCTCTGCGCGCACGGAGCAACGGGAGACCAGGTGCCTCCGAAACCCTCGTCCGCCTGCGAACCTTGCACGGGGTGTGCGGCGATTAGGTTTTCGGGGAGCTATTCCACAACTGTTTGTCCACGTCGTAGACGTCTTCTTCCTGGTGATCGCTCGCGGAACAGCACCAGAACCCTCGTCCGCCTATGAACCTTGCACGGGGTGTGCGGCGATTAGATTTTTGGGGGAGCGATTCCGCGACTGCTCGTGCACGTTGTAGACGTCTTCTTCTTGGTGACCGTTCGTGGGACTGCACTGCGAACACCTTCCTGCATCGACTGTGGTCCACGACTTCAAGCAACACACTATGTCTGGTGCGAATGGAGCCTCCGATGCCCTCGGCATGGGACCCTCTGCTGGGTACACTCTTAACTCTCTGATTACTGTACTTTGTGTACTTATTGTATCGATCGATATGTCATACTTGCATGCTGTAGCGTTTGTTAGTGATATACACATACACATATATGTCGTCATGAACCTGCTGATGCTTTATTTCTGGATTAAATTAACCATGAAAAATACCTAATTATCTAACAATCCAAAAACCTAATGTGAGGCAATTTTCTGTCAGTTGTTTTGTTGCTGCTTTGAAGCCAAATATCTTTGATGGCAAGAATTTCTTGATATGGCATGCCAAGATGGTGTTGTGGCTGACTGCTATGAACTGCTATCACGCCGCACAGGGGAAGCCTGAACAATTTACTCCTGAGGAGGAGCAAAAGTTCTTGGCTGCCGATAACCTATTTCAAGGCACTGTGATTAGTGCACTTCATAGTAAGTATGAGAAAAACTACATATCTTGCACATCAGGTAAAGAAGTATAGGATGCTCTTGAGGCAAAGTTTGGAGTTTCTGATGCTGGTAGTGAGCTATACCTTATGGAGCAGCTGTATGACTACAAAATGGTTGAAACCCGTTCTGTAGTGAAATAGGCTCATGAGATACATGTGCTAGCAAAGGAACTAGAACATTTTTCATATTTGTTGCCCGACAAATTTGTGGCCGGCGGTATAATCGCTAAGCTGCCACCTTCTTGGAAGGATTTTGCTACTTCTCTAAAACACAAGAGACAAGAGTTTAGCGTGGCTGAGCTTATTGGATCTCTTGATGTTGAGGAGAGGGCGAGAGCAAAAGACAACCGTGGAAAAGGAGTTGAGTCTTCCGCTGCCAATATGGTGCAGAAGAAAAACTCATTTGCATCCCATAATAAAAAGAAGAAGAACATGCAAGAGAACAACAATACAAAGCCTAAGCAAACTGCTGAGTTTAAGAAGAAAAACAACAAGAAAGGTGGAGGTTGCTTTGTTTGCAGGAGTGATGAGCATTGGGCAAGTGTGTGCCCAGACCGCAAATATAAGCAAGAAAAGAAATCAGCAAACATGGTGATTAGCGAGACTGGAGGAGGAAACATCTGGGTATGTTAATTCTTTATCTTTTGTTCTTTTCGTTTGTCTTTCACCTGAGTGGTGGATGGATAGCGGTGCTAATATTTATGTGTGTGCTGATATTTCTTTGTTTACTTCC